CCAGAATGGCCTTTGGACCAGGGAGAGGTTGCACCGCAGCCTTCTCCAGGAGCCATTAATTACCATAGTATCCTTTAATCTGTTGTCTCTGCCAGTCCCCATGGATTTGGGACTTCTGCCAAATGCTCTCTATGAGCCAGCAAAGCCAGGAAGACAGAGAGCACTGAAGATCTAGGGAGTTTTAGGGGGCAGGTTGGGAATGGCTTCATGACTTCTGTCCACATTCAATTGGCCAGACCTTGGTCATATGGCCGCACATGACCGCCAGGAAATGTAGTCTGGGTGTCTGGGCAGGAAAAGAGGGAAATAGGTATGGTGATCCCATAGCAATTTTTGTCACACATACCAGAATGCTGTTCTAGTCCTTGCTCTTTTGGCTTGACAACAAATTTGAGCAGCAGCCATATTAGTTCCTCAGCCTTTCTAACAGTTGCATAGGAGTCAGTTTTACAGATTGCACCATAATTTATTTAACCAGTCCAAGGTTTAACCGTCCTTAGTGCTTTTTGTTTTTCTACTCTTTTATCTTCAATGAGTGTTCTTGTCCTTATGTCGTTCCACACATGTGTCAGCATATCTGCAGGACAGGTTCTCAGATGACATGTTCAATAAACGTATGGACACTTCCATACCCATTGCTAAATTAGTCTACTAAAAGGTTATACAAATTGATACTCCCAAGAGCCATTTAAGTGTTTAATGAATACAGTTTAAATCCATCTCCATTATGTCAGAGGGAGGTTCATAGTCTGGGCAATGCCCACATGCAAAGCCTTAACCTTCCATTTCTCAAGAGCCCTAAGCGTCTATTTCTATTCCATAAGTGCACCCTGTGCTTTCTGTCCTAAGTACATTATTCCAACAGTTTCTTTCATAGATTCAGGTACAGCAACACTTCTTGAGAAACAAACAGGGCTGGTACTAGGTGGAACCCTATGTACCTGTCTTTACATTTAATCCACAAAAGCAACTCTAAGAAGTAGTTCTTTGCATGCGCATTTGCAAATGAGGAGACCAAAGTTCAGAGAGGTTAAATAGACCAAGGTCACCTAACAAGTATCTGCTATATTTTCATCAGATATTCTGAATCTATTCTTTGTCCCACCCCCATGCTTCCCACACCAACGCACAGCTTGGACAGAGGAAAGTGGCTTGTGAGCCTGGCCCACTGTCCCCAGAACAGGCAAAGGAGCAGGGTTCTGAATGTTGATGCTCTACAGATAGTCTCCTACCCATCCTTCAAAACCCAGCTCCTATGCTGTTTCAACGTCAAGCATCCCTGGAGGGCCAGCAAGTCCAGCCTGCTCTCTCTGTACTAGAGAACCATTACAGTTTAGCTACCTGTCTTGTACTGAAATTCCACAGTCTTTTCTTTTCTGATTCAGTTCACCTATCACATATCGTTAAGTATTTTTGCAGCAAAGAAGGGGGCTGTTAAACTTTTAATGAGCAGAGCATTGGAGATGATTGACTACATTATTATGTTAGCCACTTTTACTTTTCCAAAGGACGTAGGAATTGCTGAAATAATGAAAGCCTACTTCTGAGTCCCGAATTCTCTTAAACACTCTTAAATCTTGCTTTAAGCAATTATGTTAGCTTGGTGTTGCCTCAGAAAGAACAGTTAGCTTTCTCATGCATATACACCCTGTTCCCAATGACACCCCTGCCACACTGACTGACACAGGACATGCCATGCGTCCAGGTCCTGTCTCTGGAAAATGGGGATAATTGCATTTGCCAGCTACCAGTCAGGAATGTTGTCAGAGTTGATGAAATAATGTTTTTAAAGTGCCTCTTAGGAAGTAATATGCCACATAAATCACAGTCGTCTATTAACATGGTTATTTTAGTGCTTATTTATTTAGTAGCTTAGTAGAACAATGATATTTCTTTCCAGATAAGTCATCTTGAGTTGCTGGATGCCTTAATAATCAGGCCCAAATAGAATTTTGTATCTGTTCCTTTCTGATGAAATTGGGGATGAAACTGGGTACATTTTCTTTCCACTATTGAAAATTTTCAAGTTGATTATCTCTGTAAACATAGGATTAGGCCACTCCTAACCTAATCCTGGAGCAGGTATGAGATGATACTACTGCATCCTGGTGAGCATAGTGATATTTTTGTGTCCCCCATATTATCTGATGTTTTAAAAACTCAAAACTCAGTACTTAAAGATCTCACTGCTTTCCTGAAGTATCCATAAATCTTCCATCTCAGAGTCTCAGGTCTGTTGCTCCAAATTAGCAATACCTTGTAAAGGGTGATAGACCATCTGAACACTGAATGAAAGGATTTTTAAATTAGCAACTGTTTATAAATGTGTTGTCTAACAGCAGCTAGCCACAGATATGAAAATAAAATAATTCACTTCTCCAGTACGAGCTTACAGTTTAATTATTCAGTAACCTGTGTGGCCAGTGGCTCCTTATTGTACAGTTCAGTTACAGAACATTTCCATCATCACACAAAGTTCCACTGGACAGTGCTGGTCTATGAGATCTGTATCGCAAACAACTAGTGTCTTCAGCTGAAATGTTTTTACCTTACTACTCTTCCCACTCACCCCTCTATTAGATATTTCCCCCTTATTCTGTAATGAAAGATATTAATTGTTTGGGCCTTAAAAGCAATCTCGTCTCCAAGGCCATGGCTTGAACGCAGAGAAAATGGCATGTGGAACCGCCATCTGGAGGTTGGTGCAGAGCAGACCCAGCCATTTCTGAGAAATTGTCTGGGTTTGGAGTCACTCCCAGAACTCTGATTTAGCAGCTCCTAAGCTTACAGCCAGTCTAAAAGCAACACAAATCTGTTTTGTATATACAAATAAATCCTCGTGTGCTGCACGCCATTCCCAGCCGCCAGTTTCCTCTGGCTGCTCCAGAAAACACTCAATAGCACGTTAGTTAACCTGCGTGCAGGGAATGGGCATTCTGCTTATTGAAATGTTCTGGCTGAGCGATCAACCTGATTTTTGCAGAAAAACTGCCGAGGCAGGGATTTTCTGTCCAAGATGTGATGTTGTACCACTGTTGCTGCCTTCCACACGATCACAGCTGCACAGCCTCGTCCCTCCAGCTCTCAGAAGTACATCTCTTTGCTACAAACTTTCAAATGTGCAATTGATATACTCTCCAAGAGGCCTCATAAAAATAAATCAACAATGGTGATTCAGATTATCTTAGAAAAAAGAGTAAACTTAGAAGGAAAAATAAGATCTTTGCCCAGATTCGACACAGTTATGACCTTCAAGAGTTCCTGATAACAGGGCAGTTTTTTGAAATAATAACTTCAAAATTTTATTCACCTATTTTATTTCCTTTAGTTATAAATTCTTAAAACTGCTTACAAAGTGGCAAAGCTGTAAGAGCTTTACAAATATTAATTCATTTAATTTTTATAACCATCTTAGAATCAGATACCACAATTATTATATTCATTTTAAGGATGAAGAAACTGAGGCAAGGAGATGTGGCTGAGCCATCACTGACCTACCTGAATGTTCACTGTACACGTGGCTGAGCATCAGTGGATGGATAACTAGGTCTGCGAGAGGGCTCTTCCTCCCTCCACCACCCCTTCCTACTCTTAGATGAGTGGGGTCAAGGGGTCAGCACGGGGTCGGGAGAAGACGGACTCTGGCAACACTCAGCTCAGCCAGAATTACAAAATGGAGTAAAGGGAGGCTTTTCCTAATTTCTACTTAATCCATACTTATGATGTGTGAGGGTATTATGGATACATACATAGCTTATTACATCTGAATAGATGTGACTCTCAAAAGTAATTTTTTTTTTCAATTTAGAAAATATATTTTTAGCAATGAACTAGCACTGGCATGGATGGAAGCAACATAGAATTGTCTAAGGCATTGTTATGATCCTGGATAAACTCCCATTTGATGGGTAAACAGTCAAACACAACCCAGGAATTGCACAAAGTATGTTGTGAAGCACATATGCTCCTAGGAAGGGTCCAGGGTACAGAAAGAGCATAGAAGAGAGAAGAGTCAGTTTTGAACAGGAAATCAAAACATCAGGGAGGAGTAGCTTTCAAGATCCACCTTCAGAGATGAGTAAGAATTCAGGAACAAAAGGAGAAGGAAATGAGAAATTACAGTTGTGAAGTGTGAAGTCCATACATCTGAAAGGTTTTGATGAGTACTATACTGGTGAGAAGGCCTTGGTGGTAAAATAATGAATGCAGTGTGTGTGTGTGTGTGTGTGTGTGTGAGAGAGAGAGAGAGAGAGAAAGAGAGGGAGAGAGAGGTGGGTGAGGAAGGGGAGGGTAAGGGGAAAAAGAGAATGATTCTAAGGAAGGTTTTAAAGCTTAAATGTTTTCATTTTCAGACTACCCAGCAAATTGCAGACACTGGGTTCAAAAACTTTTACAACTCATTTCATTGTACTTCACACCAAGTCCATTTTTTTTTTGTGTGGCCAGTTTTACTTTGGCATTGAAATAAAAGCCAATAAACTAGAAAATCCATTATCACTTTAAAAATGTGTTTTTTCACAGAGTCTAAAAATATTTTAAACTTTGGAATGGGATAAAGTAGGGAAAATGTTTTACTTGGCAAAAATTTAAATAAATTTTTTGTCAGAAGCTAAAATGTTTGAGCACTACTAATTCCTTTTGACCAGAAAAAGAAAACAGAATGAAATAAAAACATTTAAAATATGAGGAATAAAAAACTAAGCAAAATAAAAGGAAAAAGTTTTCTTTGTCCAGAAAAGTTTCCTTGAAGTTTGTTGTTGTTGGTGTTAGCTGTAGAATGGAGTAGAATAGGCTTTACATTTAAAATATTACTTTACAGTTTATTGCACATATGAATGTCTAAATTTACACTTTCTCTTATTTTCATCTCTGATAATGTAGTAGTATGATAATATTCTTCATACGACATTAGAGAAGATGATGTAACTATATTTTTTAAAAAGATTTCTTTGGTGGCTCAGAGGAACATCTTTCTGACTGCACTTTGTGTTTTCGGGCAGATGACATTTGATCCAGAAATCTTCTTCAATGTCCTGCTGCCACCTATTATATTTCATGCCGGATACAGCCTGAAGAAGGTAAATGTACAGTGATCATTTTCTTCTTTCATCATTAATTAGAGAATTTTATCAGCAGTCCTGAGAAACCAGTCATATGGGTTTACCTATTTGGTAAGAATATTATTATATTAGATTATGTGATACAGATTGAAATCGGACATGCTTGCAATTCTTCTAAACCTGCTCTGGCCCGGACACTAGCCATTAGCCACATGTAGCATTAAGCCTTTGAAATGCACTAGCCTAAATGAAGATGTGCGTTACATGTAAAATACACATTGGGTTTCTCAGACCTAGTATTAAGAATGAATGTAAAATATCTCAATAATGTTTTATATTGATTTCATGTAAAAATGATAATGTTTGGGGTATATGGGTTTTGTAAAATATATTATCAAAATTCATTTTGCTTTTTTAAAACATTTTAACGTGGCTACAAGAAAATTTTGAATAACACACATGGCTTACATTATACCTCTGTTGGACATTGTTTTTCTAGATGGCTGTAATCACAGGGTTGGCTGTTAATAGCATTGGGTTTATCCACCAGGGTGAGAGCTCAGTGTGCTTGGTTAGCACTCAGCTGTTGAGGCTCAGAGAAGCCCAGTTCCATAGTCTCAGGGCTCTCCCTGCTGTTACTTGGGTCCAGCCTGAACGTGCATGTCTGGTAAATTAGTAATCGTGTGACAGCTGGAGTGCTGGCAGCGCCTGTGCCTCAAAACAAGGCTCTGGCGTCTCCGAGTGTTGGGAGGCAGAGGCATCCAGGCGGCTGTGCGGCCGCCCGCCCCCACGCCGCATTCCTGGGCCCTCCACCGTGGCCCATCAGCTCCAGCTCCAGGCGCCAGGAGCTTGCTCAGCACAGGCTTGGTTCTCTCCTGTACTCAGGCTCCCTCTTGCTGTCAGTTCTGGCTGCTCAGGTCCCACTTAGAGAACTAGAAGGGAGTTTTCCCGAGCAAGCATGTGAAAAGATTGAGAAGGCTGGATTTATTCAGGTCATTCTTCTTCATCCCCAGCCCCAGTACAAGGTGTCATTTTGAATCAGTCTTGAAAATAAACTGTTGGAGGTGATTAAAGTTTTGTTTCATTACATTCAGAGGAAACATGTCAGAGGTCCAATAATAAAAGTCAAAAGGCAAATTAAATCTTTTGGGATAGTATTTTTAAAATGCTAAGGAGTTCCAACAACAACAAACTTCTTAAAAACTCCCTTTTCAGAGCCCTGCGTGGCTGTGGCTCCGTCCCTTCCCTTTGTCTCAGGTCCTGCCAGGCCTGTGAGTTGTTTCCCTCACCTCTACTCCAGCAATGTCCAGGGGACCCCCCACCCCCACCAGCTTTTCCGAGCTACCTCTGTCCTTTGCGGTGTAGATTAGTTGAGAACAATTGTGCAATAAAACCAGGAACTGAGGCACCGACAACAAAATCTGCCTAAGCAGTGAGGGAAGGGAGAGGCCGTGAAATGCATACATTAGTTTTTTTCCTATTATACTAAGAACAAATGCTGATATACTATACAAAGTACATATCTTTTTTCTCCCCAGAGACACTTTTTTCAAAACTTAGGATCTATTTTGACATATGCCTTCCTGGGAACTGCCATCTCCTGCATCGTCATAGGGTAAGTGACGGTCGGAGCTCAGGTTCCACGAGGCTGGTGGGCTGGCGACCTCTGGCGGGAATCTCACACTCCTGGACGCACAGCGACTGGGTGAATTGTCTGTCCTTGTTTCAGCCTATCACATTTTCACACATTTTTTCTGATTCACTTCCAAGCTTTCTGACAAACACAAGGTTTCACATCAAAGCAAACTGAAGTTTTGATTGCAGGATTTTCTCTGTGAGTTTTGGGCTTCTGATTTAGGGAATATAGATAACTTGGCTTGAATTATGTGAAGCACATTGCATTTTCTTTTTTCTTTTGGCTTCAGTAACACAGATAAGCACGCTGCACTCTTTTTACATCTTCTTTGAAAGAGCCTATCTGCATTTGACAAGGATACAACAGTAACTATATGTCAAAGGTTTTCTTTCTAAGGGAAAGTTTACAAGAAAGCAATCGGAGTCAGACATCTCCAAATATCAGCAGAGTTGTTCAATGCTAGGATGGCTTTTCATTGATACCCTGTGGCATACAGTTGTTTTTTTTTTTCTCATTATACCTTATGCTGGTGAATCCCAAATCTAACTATGTAGACCCTGGCTTGCAGCTCATCATAAAGCAAAATGTGGTACCAAACGGTACAGCCAACCTATTCACTTATAATTCTATCCAACATAGTAAACCTCCACTGCAGAAAACATATCTCACTGCTATGACGGAGGGTGGGGATGTCAACTCCACCCTTGAATTTTACTGTGTACAACTGTTAAGTCCCTAACACAGCTAACTGAAGGCAACAACACACACTAGTCACTCATCCAGCCCTTCCCTTATGAATGGTTAGTGTGTCACTGGAAGGCTAAGGATTTGTCACTACTTGTATCTGAAAGAGAGAGGTGGGGATATGTTGAATTCTCCATTAAATTTTTTTTGAGTCAAGCCTAGAAAAAATCAGTCTCCCTTATATAAAATGTCTCGCCTGCTTAAAGCATCAAGGAAGCTGAAGATCTTCATACCGGAAGGTGGAGGCTTGCAGGAATGCTGACTGGAGAACTTCATCAAGTCTCAACACCTAAGGGTTTTTACACTGTTTGTGACTGAGCGGCAGAGTGGGCTCGATCCTTCTTAAAGCATAAGCAGGGGAGGCTTTCTGTTCCATGGGTCGGCCATAGCTAACTATTCAAATTCCAAAGCTGGCAAGGCCCTTAGATATCTGTGTCATTAAAGCCCCTCATTCTGAAGAGGAAGAAAGTAGCATCTTGAAAGGCTAATTAATCATCTTTTTAAAAAAGATTTTATTTATTTATTTTCAGAGAGAGGGGAAGGGAAGGAGAAAGAGAGGGAGAGAAACATCAATGTGCGGTTGTCTTTCGCACGCCCCCAACTGGGGACCTGGCCTGCAACCCAGGCATGTGCCCTGACTGGGAGTCGAACTGGCAACCTTTAGGTTCACAGGCCAGCACTCAGTCCACTGAGCCACACCAGCCAGGGCTAATTAATCATCTTAATCATCACAGTCATATGGTCAAGACAGAATTCAGAACTTCACTTCTCACCCAGTAGGTCTTATCATCACCCCGCTTCTTATAGTAGTTTCTCTTGAATTTCTACACATCCCTGTACATTGTTCCTACACATTTATGGAAGGCTCTGAGAGGTGCAGACTGTCAACAAGTGTTCATTTATAGCAAAGTTTGATCTTTAGCAGTTCTGTAATATGGAGATCTGAAAGTTAGAATGGATCTAAATCTTAAACTTGTGGACAATGCTGTCAGCTTGTGGAATAATCAGCTTCCATTATTTCCCTGTTTCCTTTGTATAGCTGATTTTCAGTATATTTAAGTATATGCATTTATATAATATGCTTTGATTATCATGAAAAATAAATAAATCTAATTTTTAAGTGTGACAATGTATAATGAGTGTGTGTGTGATATAATTGAATTGTTTAAAAAGCTTCAGTTCAAAAAATCTGGTGATATTAATTCCCTGGATTTGAGAACCTCTTCTAATTGATTGTGAGGGTGAAATCAATGACTTATATTGGCAAGTGTTTTGAATAACTTTTAGAACCATGTTATTTGTTCAAACTGAACATAATCTGGATGATAAAAATGAGTAGAGTGCACTCAATATGGGCTGTTAAAGTTCAGAAGGGATTGATTGATAGTTTAAAGATTTTGGGATCTTTTATTTATATATATTTATATTATTTATATATATTATTGATTATACTTTTACAGTTGTCCCATTTTTTTTTCTCCTACTTATTCCCCTCCACCCTATACCACCTCACCACCCAACATTCCTCCCCCTTTTAGTTCATGTCCATGGGTCGTACAAATAAGTTCTTTGGCTTCTCCATTTCCTATTCTATTCTTAACGTCCCCCTGACTGTTTTGTACCTATTTATGCTGCTTATTCCCTGTATCCTTTCCCTCATTCTTCCCCCTTCCCCTCTACTATGTTTTACTGTTCATAGGTTTTGATCTTCTTTTTCTTAGATAAGTCCCTTTAACATTTCATATAACAAGGGCTTGGTGATGATGAACTCCTTTAACTTGACCTTATCCAGGAAGCACTTTATCTGCCCTTCCATTCTAAATGATAGCTTTGCTGGATAGAGTAATCTTGGATGTAGGTCCTTGCCTTTCATGACTTTGAATACTTCTTGCCAGTCCTTTCTAGCCTGCATGGTTTCTTTTCTGAAATCAACTGATAGTCTTATGGGAACTCCTTTGGAGGTGACTGTCTCCTTTTCTCTTGCTGCTTTTAAGATTCTCTCCTTATCTTTAATCTTGAGTAACTTAATTATGTTGTGCCTTGGTGCATACTTCCTTGGGTCCAGCTTCTCAAGGACTGTCTGAGCTTCCTGGATCTCCTGGAAGTCTATTTCCTTTACAAGATTGGGAAAGTTCTCCTTCATTATTTTTTCAAACAAGTTTTCAATTTCTTGCTCTTCCTCTTCTCCTTCTAAAACCCCTATGATTTGGATGATGGATCATTTAAAGTTGTCCCAGAGTTTCCTAAGCCTTTCCTCATTTTTTTGAATTCTTGTTTCTTCATTCTGCTCTGGTTGAATGTTGATCTCTTCCTTCTGCTCCAAATCATTGATTTGAGTCCCAGTTTCCTTTCCTTTACTGTTGGTTCCCTGTATATTTTCCTTTATTTCACGTTGCATAGCCTTTGCTTTTTCCTCCATTTTGCGACCATACTCAACCAATTTAGTGAGCATCCCGATTACCAGTGTTTTGAACTGTGCATCTGATAAGTTGGCCATCTGTTCATCACTTAGTTCTATTTTTAGAGCTTTGATATGTTCTTTCATTTGGGCCATATTTCTTTGTCTCAGCGCGCCTTGGAAATCGTTGGAAGGGGTGGAGCCTTAGGTATTCACTGGGGGTCGGGGGGCAACCCACATTGCTGGGTTGTGATGCTGTCTGCAGGGAAGGGGTCCACGAGGGAGCAATGCTGCTTGCTTGGCTCTCGGCCGGCTTTCAGTCACTGCTCCTGCTACCCACAAGCAGTTGGGCCCTTCTGGTGCTGATTTCCAGGTGGGTGGGTTTGTGTACATTTTAGGACCCTGCGGGTCTCTCCAGTGAACTCTCCTGTGAGGCTGGGAGTTTCTCCTGCTGCCGCAACCCCTAAAGGTTTTTACCTGCAGAGGTTTTGAGGCTTTCTTTTCCCCGCACTGGAACCCTGGACTGCGCAGTCTGTCTCACTCCCCAGCGCTTCCTTCGGTTCAGCCACACACAAACGTGGGACTGCCCGGTCTCCCAGCTGCCACCTTGCCTGGGCAGTCCTCCAGCCGCTGCCTTGCTGCACAGCATCTCCACCCCAGCTGCCCATCTCTGCCCCTCCTACTGGTCTGGATGAATATTTTTTTCTTTAGCTCCTTGGTTGTCAGATTTCCATACAGTTCAATTTTCTGGTCAATTTTCTGGCAGTCCTGGTTATTTTTTGTTTTTAAATTTCTTGTTGTCTTTCTTTTGGTTGTACAAGGAAGCAAAGTGTGTCTACCTAGGCCTCCATCTTGGCCAGAAGTCCCAGATTTTGGGATCTTATCTAGCAAGCTAAAGGAGATCATGAGAGAGCTTTAGCTTGAGGGTGAGGAGGTCAGATTTACACTTTAGGAAGGTCATTCTGGTAAAGGAGAAGTTTTAAAGTGGGGAAAAATGGCAACCAGGTGATCATTTAAAGGGCAATTTCCAGAGACTAGGGTAGAAGTGATGAGGGCTGGCCTCAGGCAATAGCAGTAAATGGGGATGTGGTGTCATCAGCCAGTTGAAATCCTGAGAGGAAACGGAGCAAGTATGTGGAGTGAGAAAGAAAAGTACCTGGACAACAGTACTACTTGAAGAGGTGCCCATAAAAAACCAAGAACCACTGGAGCCAAGAAACATGGAGAAAACCATCAGGGCATATGTCTGGAAGTCAATGGAAGAGGTAGAGGGAGGGTAGACAGTGTTTGACGTAGGAAAGGACAAGTGGGGTAGGAACTAGCACATCCATTGTATTTCCCCAAGGAGGTGATGGGTGACTTGGCACTTACCCTGTGGTAGAAATAAGGGAAAAGAAATGGCATGTCTAATTGTTTTGGGCACTGTATCATGGGAAGCAAGGATTTATTTTTATGCTGTTGTCCCCAGATATAATTTCAGAATTTCTGAGGGAAAGGCACAAACTAAAATTCAGACCAAATTGACACGTTCATGATTCGTGATACCCATTGACCTTATAAAATGGCCAGTTACATTTTTCTGATAAGTTAATGCTAATAAAAACAACACAACAGACATTTATTGAATGCTTGATATGTACTATGCCTATTTTAAAAGTACTTTACACGGGTTGTTTCATTTAACCCTTCAAATAATCCTATTAGGTAGATGCTATTTTTACCCTCATTTAACAATTGAGACAACTGAGGATTAGAGAGTATGACATAATGTAAACAATAGAGCTAGTATCAGCAATTAAATAGTTTGGCTCCAGAGTCAAAATTCTTAATACCCAAA